CGTGAACACGAACGAGCGTTTCCAAGGTTCTGTGTCTTTCATTCCGTAATCTCCATGCACTTTCACTCAGTTATCTATACGATGCAGCAGCCAAACCACCAGAAGCAATGATGCTACACAGACCTGGCATGTCTGCTTTATCGTCCGCAGCAGCCGCCTCCGGAAGATGCAGGAAGAGCTCTGTGTACCAGACCACTTGAAACTGTCCAATTTCAGCCAGCAAAGCTGCGCTACAAAGATATTACTTCTACACGAAGAAACACTACGATTTTTCATCTATTTTTCATCTTCTCAAGCAACCAAAAACTTTTGCGTGATATAGGAGCTTTGGCTTCCCGAGAACTGACTCGTGAGCTGCTGCAAATAAGGTGGATGGAGGTTTCAAACAGAAACTACTCAGTTCGGGTGCCGTGATGCATGCTGCCCGCCTGATCGATGGGCCCCTACATTTCCGTTGTGGGTCGCATGCTGATGTATTCGTGCACATGCGCTTAATCCACCTCCAAGAATAGCGCAGTCTGGCAGTTCACGAAGGCGTAGTGCATCTTTGCATCAGTCTCCCTGTTAAAAAATCGCTCGCTGGTCATGACTCCGAAAACGCGTGACGCTGTCGAATCCGGCAGGTTCATAAATAAGGAATGGCACTTGGAGTGCAGAGAACCCCTATTACCTGCATTTGCCGCGATAAGCGCTTGCTACACATCTGCCTCAACGGGCAGCTTCACGAAAGACTGTCTTACGCCGCAAGTAAGGCCTTCATGCCCATATGGTTCCGAACAAAAAATGCAGTGGAACAGGAATTGCTTTGCTTCAGCCTCAGCCGAAGTTACTGACCACTGCAAAGGGACCTGCTGCAGAAGTGCTTCAAACTCTTGAAGCAGCTCGGCGGATTGCTCTTCTGCTCTCTCTCGTACAAAAACTTTGAAAACACCGAATCAATATAGCCACAGACTAGCAAGTTACGAGCTCACCGCTAAGTTTGCGCGCACCGTAGAAAAACCATAGCGGGAAGGTGCAACACCCCCCAACTCCCGTGGGAGATGTGTGACACAAATCCTGTCCACCCTGCAGTTCTACTCATCCCCTGCACACCAGTCTACACAATGAACTATGCAGCCAGCAAGTAAACAGCTACCTACAAGCCTCTCCATTCGTTAACATACGTATATATGCGCTTCCTCGAAAGCACCCGGAGATGTTTTGTCACGCACAAAGTGCGGCAGGGCGAAAACAACGCCAACACAACGCTCGCATCCACCCCTACTGTCGTTCGTGCAAAAGTTCTGCTCAACTTCCTGCCTCCCTGGCTAGTAAGCCAAGAAAATGTCGAGGCATCGTCGATGGTCCTTAGCACGCATTCGTGCAACGCCATGCACAACGCGCCCGTGTAAATCTGGATTAAGCACCAACTCATTGAATCATAACCGTTTGCAGTCAACTTTCGGTTGCCACATATTATGGTAGCGAGCTGGCCAACAGAGATACGTATCATCTCAACTACAGACAGCCAGTTGTGAAACACAGCAAACAGCCCCCAACGCATTTTTGTGGCTCCACACTCCCTGAATCCGATGGCGTATTCCATGTGCGAGATTCCTCATAACAACGTAGTTGGTGAAAGCGTTCATTAAGCGGTTTCTGTCTGCAGGAAGTTTCAGCTTGCCGCTTTCAATGGCTTAAAAGCCTTCGCTGGTAACAGTCACTGCCCACAACTCCGTTCACGCAAGTCCCTCATGAGTGCAATGCTTCACTTTATGTTGGGTTTCTGTACGCTATTGGAAAATGGATGCCACTCCGCTGAATTACTGTGGCCCCTTGGCGAGCCTCAGCGGCACCACAGCCAGGTTTGCATGAGGTCTACTCAGTTCCCGTGTGGTCGTATGTACACTGCTGTAGGGCAGCTGCATTCTCCTGTCCACTCAACGCACATCGTTTACTGCATCGTTTGCAAGCACAACACGCATCTCAAGCCAGCAATCCGGAAACTAGACTCACGGAATATCGTGGAATACAGAAATCCAGAGCGGCTAGCATAAGCAGACGACTAGCCAAGAGGATGAGCTGGAGTCAATCACAACTGTCGCACAGCCAAAACAAGACTTATCAGTTCGGTAGCTGCCATGATGCAAGTCAAAAAGAGGGCTTTTCACACAGCCTTCACTTTTGAATGCGCATAGGCCATACGAAGCACACACGAGCCGTGAAGCCATGGAGTTCGAGCAATGTGTCTACGTTCATAGAATCCCCCTGCATTTAACTGAATGGCACAATATTGGTTCGAAACTCTCGCATGCATCATGTGGAGCACGTATGAGGCATCCCATGCTCGAACTGCATCACCGCCGACAAAGCTGCAGCGTGTGCAGTTTTCCGCAAGGTGGCTCACGGAGCAAGATGCTTCTTCTTTGCCTGCAAGTCTCCGTGAGGATAATCCATGATCATCTGTCCTTTTAGAAGAGACCAATGCTCTGAAGCACTTGAGAAGCAGGAACACCGTGGCGGCAGTGACGGCCAGCGCAACAGCTGCAAAAGTCGCTCTAGTGAGTTTCAGCTTCTCAATTCCTGCGGATATGTTGCTATTGTGAGTAACAGACTCATGCTGTGCTGAAGATCCCTCAAATCCAGCAAAAAGAGGGCCTGATCGATCCAGGACAACGCTGTGCTCCCGAACACGCGTATGAAGAGCGGGAACGGGAGGGGGGAAACCGGACATTTTGGAGTTACGCTCGCTGGTAAATGCTAGTTTTGTGTCTCAGAAAAAAATGTGGCAGCTTAATACATGTTTACATCAAGGTTTCCTTGTTATGGTAAGTACGAAAATGCTGGCATTGAATGCATGCTGACTGTAGTGCCTCGATGGGAAGAACTACGCTAGTGCCGACGACTTACGTGCAACAACAGAGGGGAACATTTAAGAACGAATAAAATTATAAATATAATAGTAGACAATGATTCATAATAAGATGTAATAATGGACTTCAGATGATTGCTAGCTTTGAGGATGATTTTCCCATCCAATCTAGCGACACAGCCTCACGATATTCAGAGCAGCGGATTGAACCCTCTTATAAATTCAATCGCGTGCAGTTAGTAGGGAATATAAAGAGTATTCAGTGTATTCTTTTGGATATCTCATGTCTCGCTGGTGTTAGACATTGTGAAGCCACATGGCCGACCTTCCCACACCACCTAACCTAAGGCACGCGTACTGCGAGCGGGTAATTGGCGGTACCAGGCCTCACTAGAGGGCAGAGCAGCAGCACTATTTAATGGGGTATGCGTAGAAGAAGCGAATGATGAGCATTTCCCGCTCAGTAAATATGGAAGATGACTTGTCTTCCTCGCGGCTGGATGCCCTAGAAGTCTTCCGCACCTGATAGCAAAGGCTCCCGCAACAGGAGAGAGGAGAGGTCCACTGCGCAGGGGATACAAAAGTAGCCATAGAATGTCCAAGGTGTGAGTTGAAGAAGAGAAGCCGATCTCATTATATGCGCAGGTAGCTACTGGAATTACTGGCAGTACAGAGAGTGGTGGTGCCGACACAGGGAACGAAACGAGTAAAGCTCCCCATATTGGGAGTTAGCAGCAGGGCCACAGTGGTGGTGCGAGCAGCAATATGCTGAGTCTTCAATATAAATGCATTGAGAGCAATAGCGATGCCCCAGCATCTTTGAGTTCTTCTCTTTAGCCTCGAAAAGCCCCTTAAACATGCTCAGATAGTGCGAGTATGTGCAAAATCATGCAGCTTTCTCCGCAAAATGGCCTTCCCTTATGCATTAATGCTTGCATCTCGTGCCGGTGAGGGCTTTGGCGTTATTGCTCTATTCTCTTCTTGCTGTTAAGAGGCGTCCTCTACTGCTCTACAGCAGCTAATGGGGGAAACTGGAACTAATGAACAGAGGGAAGGGTCTGCATTAGGCAGTGTTTAACAACTAAATGGGCCTAGCTAGCTAGCTAGACTCGAGCTAGCTAGCTAGCTAGAAAACGTAAAGTGAAGTTTCACGAAGAGCTGCTCCCACTGCCAGCTCCGTGCTGCTGAGACGAGTTCTGCCTCTGTGGAGTTACCCCTTCGAAGTTTGCTGAAGGTGTACTCATCAGCAGCATGTAAATAAATACACAAACATTAAAGACAACCAGTTGGTGCGTAACGAACGACAAGACGGGCGTCGGCGGCCCTAAACAAAAAGGTGGCCCCTTCCCTCCCCGTTATGTACACTCGAAGCATGCATGCGGAGATCCGTAGTCGTGCATGCAGCGCGCAGCACAACACAGCGTGCAGCTGTATGCAGATGCCACGTTGGCTGTAGGCCTAACGCGCACTCCGAGTGTATAACCAACACCCACTGCGGGGCGAATGAAGTGTACATACACCTGGTGAGTCAACACATAGATACACCTGAGGGAGACGTCTACTTCTTGCCTGCATTCTTCTTTCCAGGTGTTACTTATACACCTCAGTGCCCGACTACCTACACACAACGCGGGGCCCACAGCCCTGCGCAGCACTCGACAGGAAAGGGTGCAAGAGCAGCTGCTGCAGCCGCAGCCGCAGCAGCAGCGCAGCAGCAGCTTTCGCAGAAGACACAGCAAAAGCAACAGTGGCAGCAACACGACAGAAAGCAAACGTTTCGCTGCTGTGAAAGGCTACAACCCAAACCCGATCATAACGGCGTGAGGGGCCCCCGCGAAGGCACCTGCTGCCGCATGTACACTCCAGGGGGAAGGGACTGCTTAGGGGGCACCCTGGAGGCCCTTTAAGCTTGAAACACCAAGCGGACCCCACAGGCGCCCTCCGAAAGAAGCCCCATCTAGGAGAGGAGGACCTCATCTATAACGGGCCCTGCTTAGGGATGGATGGCCTACACCCCAACTAGCAGTTCTTTGGGGCCCCTCGAGGCCTCGCTTATATCCACCTGTAAGACCGCCGCTACAACAGGGGGGACCCCCTGGATTCTCCGGGGGTCCCCTGCTGTCCGTCGCACTTCGCCTGGGGGCCCCTCTTAGCCCACAAGGAGGGGCCCCCCCCCACTGGGGTAGCGGAAGGGGCCGCACATTGGGCATGAGGCCTTCAGCCGATCAAACAGCCAAACGTCAAGACAGCCAGCTGAGCACAACGCACGAGCTCAAACCCTAAACCCTAAACCTTTTAACCCTATCCCCCACCTTCAAACCCCACGCTCCAAACCCCAAACCCTGACCCTACATCTCCCCAAAACGCACTACATTAAAGGCGTTGCAGCAACAAGAACAGCAGCAACAGCAACAGCAGCAAGCAGCCTATGCAGTAACAGCGGCTGCAGCGCCTCGAGCCCTGGCCAGGCCTCTGTTTCCATCTTACAAAGATCCCGTGCCCTCCTGGGGGCCCCCCTGTAGCGCCTAAAGGGGCCCCTATCCCTGCCCGCTGGGGCCCCTACAAACACCTTTACAGCCTCTGGGGGCCCCTGTAGGGAGGGGGGCCCCCATGGGCCCCCATGGGTTTGTGGGGCGAACACTCACCATGGAATTTGTGGCCGCAAGCGGTGACGACGCGAAGAAGTTCCCCAGGCTTCATGTCGTCGAAGCAGAATATGCAAGCCTTTAAGAACGCACAAGACCCTAAACCCTAAACCCTAAACCCTAAACCCTACGCCGCCAACCCAGAATTATGAATAGCGTCTCGTTGTCCATCTGAATGGTGCTAGTATACTTTATAAACAAACCCCGACGAACACCCCATCTGTATGCAAGGCCTCAAAATGCATCGGAAACCCAAGAACTGCTGCTGCTGCAGCTGCAGCAACGGAGCACCAGCAGCAGCAGCAAACGGAAGCGCAACAGCAGCAAAGGAAACAAAAGCCCCACTGGACGCGCAGCAGCCTCGCCGCTGCAGCAGCAACGTGCGCAGCAGCAAGCACAGCAGCAAAGACAGCAGCAGCAGCAGCAGCAGCAGCAGCAGCAGCAGTCACCAAGCGAGTGCCCACGAACCTCTAGTTCCCTAGAGCGTGAAGATGAAGGGGTGGCTTGTCCGTCGGTTAGGGAGGCGGGGCAGCTGCGGTGTTGAGGGCCTCCCTGTGCCTTGTTGCTGCTGTTGCTGTTGCTGTTGCTGCTGCCACTGCTGCTGCTGCTGCCTTCTTGCAGCAGCAGATGCGTGCAGCTGAGGACGCGGATGTGGTGCAGCAGGCTCGCGGGCAGCAGATTCACCGCTTTTAAAAAAGAAAGAAAAAGAAAGGAAGCAACAAGACAAGCGGCGCAACCCAGAGAGAGCCCCATAAGCACAGCCTGGCCCTCTGGGGGCCCCTTCGATAGGGGCCCCACAACAGCTGAAGACGGCGCCCCCAGCAGCACATCAAGGCGATCTGTATATAGCCAGCGAATCAGCATATAAGACAAAGCAGAAAAATATAATCTTCTCGAAGGAGACCTAAAAAACAAGCTCGGGGGAAACAGCAAACACCGCTGCAGCAGCTGCACGCTGTACCATACAAACCGCAGTACTGCAGATGCAGCAAAAGCACCAACAGCAGCAGCTGCAGCAGGGGCCCCCCCAGCAGCGCCTCCCCTCACTCCAGCAGGGGGCCCCACAGGGTGAGGACGGGGAAACGGCTGTTCAGGGCCACTACTGGGAGGCGAGGGGAAGGGCGTGCTGATGTTGCTGTTGCTGCTGTTGTTGCTGCTATTGTTGCTGCTGTTGCTGCTGCTGCTATTGCTGCTGATGATGCTGCTGATGCTGGGTGGGCTGGAGGTGTCGGAGTAGCCAGCAGCCGCAGCAGCAGCAGCAGCAGGCGCTGCAGCAGCAGCACTTGCAGCAGCAGCAGATTGTGGGGCAGCGACTGGCTGCCCCCCGAAGGCCCCTATCGCTCCCCAGGGTCCTGGGGGCCCTGCATGCGCCTCCTGTGTGTTGAGGGGGGCCCCAAAAATCTCTCCTTGTGCATGCAGCCACCTAGATAAGTGCAGCGCCAGCGTTAGTAAAGGAATATCGACAATGATGCGGCAGTATATACTCAGATGAAATGCTGCTCTAGACCCTCCATTCCAGAGGGGGCCCCTGTTCTCGGGGGCCCTCCAGGGGGAGGGGCCCCCCCCCAAAGGTAAGCAGAGGCCCCACAAGTCCACGCCGCCGTAGTAGGGCCCCTCTGCTGCTGCCCCAGCAGGCCTGCTGCTGCTGCTGTTGCTGCTGCTGCTGCTGCTGCTGAGGGCCCCACAAGTAAGGGACTCGCACCACACAGGGAAGAGGCTGAAGTGGTCTAGTATAGGGATAGCAGGGGGGGCCCCCCCGAGGGAAGCAAATTCTGCTGCTGCTGCCTGCGGCAGCACAAGTGCAGCATCTAGAAGATCAAGCAGCCACAAACAAAGAGCAGTTAGAGAGACAAAGGGAGTCCCTACACCTACGAACAAACAACAAAAAGGGTATAGCAAGCCGGGGGCCCCCACAGAACTCAAATGAAATACCCACTCCGCCAGACGCCCTACAACAGGGCACAGGTGCAGCAGCACCAGCAGCGGCAGCTGCAGCAGCACACTTAAACGCCAGCGCAGCTGTCTTGCTGCTCCTGCTGCCCACGCATAACAGGACCTCCATACCTCCTGGGGGGGCCCCAGGGCCCCCCACGGCAATTCAGCAGCACCGCCCTTCAAAGGTGCAGCACCAGATAAGCCCAATGGAAGCAAACTGCCGCGCATGCAGCCCCAAAGGCTGCTACCCCGTCGAACCCGCACGCCACCCCCGCTACTGCTGCCAGTTCTGCTGCTGCTGTTGCTGCTGCTGTTGCTGCTGCTGCTGCAGCGCACAGGCTCACACCCGCCGCCTGCAGCAGAAGCTGTCGGAGTAGGGCATTGTGGGGAAGGACGTCGCTTCCTGATACTGTTGTTGCTGTTGCTGCTGCCGCTATTGCTGCTGCTGCCGCTGCTGCTGCCGCTGCTGCTGCTGCCGCTGCTGCTGCCGGTGCTGCTACTGTCGGGCCCCCGGGTCACTTGGCCCCCTTCAGAACTCCCCGAAGGCTGACTTTCCATTGCAGCAGCTGCTGCTGCAAATAAAAAACGAAAGTGCTAGTCATTCAACCCCCTGCTGCTGCTGCAGCTGCTGCTGCTCCAGCAGATACACCTGAGACCTGCACGGTGGTTGACTTCTAGGAAAGCAGCAGCTGCTGCTGCTCTCGTTTATGCGGATACCGCAGAGTCTATTGATGAGACACTATACTCCCTGGAGGCTGTAGCTGTAGCTGTTTGCAGTTGCTGCTGCTGCTGGTGTTGCTGCCGCTGCTGCAGCTGCTGCTGCTGCTGCTGCTGCTGCTGCCGTTGTTGTTGCTCCCTGCCGCTCCTGGCACTGAAACATCACCAGGCACCCTCTAGGGGTTTCCCTAAATGCGTTTAACTTGTAAAAGCCAAAGACAAGCGTTAATGACCTTTAGAATTGACCGGAAACTGCTGCTGCAGCAGCGGCAGCAGCGGCAGCAGCAGCAGCAGCAGGCCGGACGGTGGCTCGGCTGTAGCGGCAGCCCGCCGTTCTCTGAGGACGTTTAGGGGTATTTTTGCTTATTTTTACATTTAATGAGTGAAAATAAAAGGGAAAAGAGGAGTTTAATGCACATATACAGCCAGAAGAGATAAGGCAAGCAGTTACAATTGCGTCGCTCTGTTGAATTTCCTGAGGCTAGGGTTGGTGTCTGCAGCATAATAAAGGATGAAATAATAAAGCGGCGAGTTAAATGAATTTGAAACATTCAAAGTACTTTTTTTAAGAACGAAAGCGCCAGCTTTAGAGCCAAGAAGCCCCGGTAAACTACGCGGTGTATGTACACACCAACAAGACAGTTAAGGAAGATCAAAAAAATACATTTTGCTGCCTCGCTAGCTTTTTGCAGTTCGACTTCTCAAAATAAATCCACAGCAATGCTGCAGAAGAAGCGCACTGGCGCTGTTAACTTGCGGTGTATGTACACTTCATCCCTGCAGCCTGTGGCAGTAAGTAATTGGTCTTTTATTTGGAAACTACTTGCTGCGTTTACCCTTGAGAGTTGTTCTGTTGCTTAATCCATATGCAGACAGTGAACTCAGGCACTACTGCATGACTCCATTCACCTTCTCTAAGGAGAGCTCGATAGAGAGCAACAGCTCTTGCGCTCTTGTAACGAGAACCTTTGTAGCAAGGTAGCCTTGTATACATGAAGTCGGTGCGTATATTTCTGCATGTTTTGTTTGGTGGCTGGATCCCGAGGCAAGGAAGTATTTGACAACTGTCTATAGTCTTAGTTCAAGTGTCAATACAGGGTATATTAGTGCTGCACGTGGATTATCCTTAGAACGAGTTGCAATTCGGTGGGCTGCAACTCATCCCAGGGCGCTCCCTCTCCCCACCAGCCTTCACGGCTATGTGCCAAGGACTGCTGGAGGCTGGAGGGAGTCTCGTTTTCTTTGGGAGATCTTCGCAAATGTATATTTGGCTTCTTTGCAGTCACAAGACACCTCGTCTGAGGTCGGGGATTCCATTACACTTAGTAGGAACAGCTGTGATGGGTGCGAGAAAGAGCAGTGAGCGCCGCCCCCACAGCTAGGTGTTTTAGTACACAGCGCTGGCTCTTTGCGAAAAAGATAAAGAAGTCCGTCGATACTATCCCTTGGATTGCTGTTGAAAATTCAGACGCTGTCTGTCTCCTCCCGCATGAAAGAGATTGCCAAAGGTCTTCTCTTCGGCAGGGAGGGAGCGAACGGCTAGGCGCCTCGTCTCATTGAAGCGAGCGCAGCTACCGCTGTTCATACACCGTGACAGTCTTTTTGCTGAGGGTAGACTACATCTAGTTTGGATATCTATCCAAGTATTACGAGCGCAGCGATGTGTCGGGCAGTGGAGGAGTTCGTTGCTTCTCTAGAGGCGTATTTTACTCTCCAGAACAAACCGTAAGAACTACACTTGTTATTAAGGGCCAAATCTGCAAGGAATTTGGCTAAGCCAGAATTAAAGGAGGCTATCGAAGGAGCGCTGCATTAAGTAGTAGGATCAGTCTTTGAAAAGCCATAGACTAAAAGGTTCAAACCAAGCCTGTCCCTGAATGGGCTATGAAGAAGGAACAAAAGGGTGAAAGGGTGGAGGAGGCCGCATAAATGATGAACTACTTTCGCATCAAAGAAATATAAAAGTTGCTTCCACAGAGCTGGCGGTGAAAAAGGGAAAAGAAAGCTTTTGAAGCGGCCCCAATGTTAGAATTGGTGTATAATGAGAAGCACAGTCTCAACTCCGCCCAGATAAGAAATAAAATATCAAACAATATCCGGCAAAGCTCCGCACTCAGAAGAGCAGAAGGACCTATCAACCGGCTCATCTACCCCTTTTGCAACAAAGAAGATAGTATTGTTCGAGTTTCCACGAGTACGAAAAGAGCTAAGGAACTAGAAAAGCAATATTTTAAGCAGTGCGGTCAGGAAAACAAACCAGCCGATTCACTCTGGCCCCCATGCAGCCTCAGACGCAAAGGTGGGGTGAATGAGGTGGCAGCCGCGCTTGCAGGTCCGCCTCCAATGAACTCTGCTTATTCAAGTTATATCGTACTATCGAGGTCTCAAGAGTTGCTACTGCTACTTCCAGGCTGCGAAGTGAGTATAATATCTGAATATACGGAGAAGAGGTGCAGCATACGCATCTATTCTTTGGCTTAGTCTGTACTGCTACGCTTCTCCAATGGCCAAAGTGCACGAGAATCGATGAGGCTACGGATGTAAAGTGCTGCTGCATTACTATAATATGGTGCTTTTACCCTGAACAACTTCACAGTTTTATTATCTTTATTTGCAGTGTAGGACTCAATGAGGGGCGCTCTTCCGGCCCCCAGAAAACACTATCGAGATCTATGCTTTAGGAAGCGATGCAGAAGTATGCCTTTCACCGCTCCCAACACCAATTTGCATACTCTGCAGTAAGAGTACTGTAGTGAGTATCGCAGGAAGAAAGGAAAAGGTTTTGTTTTTTAGAGGCGCTGCGGGAAGCAGAAGAGAAGTGAAAGCTGTCTATAGTTACTATCTCACGAAGACCCCAGTTTGAATGTAGCCGATAGATTCAACGCAGAAAGAGCAGCAGAAATTGCCGCACTTGAAGGAAGAGTTATTAGGTGAATTTAAATAACAACGAGCTGCCAGTTGGTTAGCCACCCGCTGGACGCCCCTCCTTTACTCACTTCTTAAGCAGCCGAAAGCTTTGTTTCGATTTCCAGTAAAGCCCCACAACTTGAAGAAGAAATCGAGCGGCAAGCAGACGCACTGCAAAGAAAAGGCAAAGTTCAAGAGTCAAGCAGCGTGTATAGACGTAGCCAGGTGTGCATGAAGATAAAAGAATGGATGGTCTTGGTAGTACCGCGTCTGCATGCGCGTCGGCTGCAAGCCCCTAAAACAGCACTGTAAAAGCAAGGTTTTCGTTGTTTTCGTTGCCCCAGATCGACGAACTACTTCAGCGCTTGAGGTGTTAAGCAGTATATTCATCGTTTGACTTCACAGAGGCCTCGCGCATGCACATAGCTGCACAAGTTTATCTGCTTCTCACGCCTGCGCTCGCAAACTTAAGTGCATCTACGCCTGCAGATATTCAGTTAAAGCCCAGTCATCGCATTGTTGACTCAGCCAATGAGGGCTGAGAGTATATAAATATATATATACATATATGTATATAGATATGCATATATATATATATATAGCCTCATGCTTAGATCGGCATATCTATTGCTGCACGCCCTAAGCCCATTGCAACATCAATTTATTATACAAAAGAGCTGCGCTCTTTAAACATCTTTGTCTCACCCTATGCTAGCCCCCCTGTGTGCAGCACAGACACTTAAGCAGTCTACTAAAGAAGCTTAAGCGCAACTTGCTATATGAAAATATCTTTATAAATGAGCCTTTCCACCCATTCAGAAGTATATATATATATATATATATA